TCTCTCTTCATACTTTACTTTGTTTCATATTTTTGTGGTTTAAAAAAAAAATACATGTGGTTCAGAACAGATTAACCGTATTTACATTGAACCTTATGGGAAAATTTGATTCGGTTCACAACTAATTCAGTTCGCGACTAGAGACGTGGAACGAATTAAGTTCGTGAACTGAGGTACCACTGTATTTGGTAAATTTATATAGCCGCCCTTTTCGCATGTGACTATAGGCTAGCATTCTGACCCTGCAAGAAGAGAGGTCCACGTGTCGCCACAACAACTTGTCCCGCACCAAACGATGCCACCGCTTGCAGACTCTGCAGAAAGAAAAGGTTGATTAGCCTTTATTAGCAAACACTCATCTCCCCCAAAGGAAGAGATCAAGACGGCCCTGACGGTTTGCTTCCTCCTCCAGGCACTGGGCGAGAATCCGTCCGTCGCTTGCCCCTGGCGCGGGATCTTTTCATCGATACGTTATTTTGCGTCGTGACGAATTTAGCCCTCGCGCCACAGGCGCAGCGTCCGCACGAGGACATCAACCGCCATTCGACAAAGCGCTGCGCGCGGCTGATCCTACTGGGAATGCAGGACCACCCGACAGCGCTGTTGACGTTGAGAGGAGGAGGCGGGTTCCCATGGAAATTGGAGAGGGCGAGGCGGAGCCGACCCCTACCTGGCCACGCCTATTCGGTCACGCGGCGGCAGCGAGGCCAGAATCTGGAGCAGAAGAGAGTCCGGGAGAGCGGCGAGACTCGAGGGCGATAGCGCGGCCATTATTTATCACCGCGTTTCTCCGCGGCCTAATCTTCGGAGGTACAGTATAGAGGAGCGGCAATTGTTGGCGGAAGGGGTTGTACAACTTCCGTTTTCGGGGTGACCACCCACTTCCGGTTTGGCGGGCCTCGATTGTTTGTTCTCCGTGAGGGGTTGCGTATTCTGCTGAGGGGTTGTGGCCTCTTGGCTTTCCCACCCTCAAGGAAGCCTCTTCCGCGGTGAGGGTGGCTCGTGGGGAACGGGTTTCGAGTCGTGTTGGTGGTTAGGCCTAGTCGTTGAGGGCTTGAGGATGGCTGTGAGAATCGGGGAATTTTAAGTGCGTGGTAGGAGACGTTTCTTCGCGCCTGTGAACGCCTCCTGCACTGGGACTTTATTAGGCTTCTGTGTCTAAGTACGCAGTTGCTGAGGGAGAGTTTCAAGCTGTATACGTCACGTTAGACCAGTGTTTCTCAACCTTGGCAGCTTTTAGATGTTTTTGGTTTTTATTCCCAAAATTCTTCACACCCCCCCCGAGCGTGTGGGGGGGGTTTTGTGG